GTCGGGCAGCTCAGGCTGTCATCCAGGACCCAGCACTGCTCAGCCTCAGTGGCACCAGCTGCCTGACAGTGTGCAGAGCCATGCTGTACCCTGCCAACCCAGACTGCACCCATGTGATGGGGCAGCAGCAGTGCGGGTGCCAGGTGGCAAGGGCCAGTCCCTGCTGCACAGGGTAGCGGATCTGCCAAGAGGCCCCAGTGACCCTGACGGCAGCTGCTACTGCCGATGAGTATGGGGCTTTTTTTTTTTTTTAAATTGCTAGGATGCTGGGGCCAGGTGGGGTAGCAATTGGAGGGTTCAGGGGCCAGGTGGGGGATGTGGCCAGTAGGGTTCCCTCCATAGTTCCCTCCCCCCTCCTCCAGCCCCTCTCCCCATCCCAAACTTACCGGCATGGAGCCCAGGTTCAGCTCAGCACCGGGGCAAGGGCCAGCCATACAGACGCTCTGGCTGGGTAGCAGAGCATCTCTGTGAAAATCTGAACCTCCGGCTGCCCCACTTTTTTTGCCCGGGGTATTTTTTGACCCCTATATATCCAGGGGTCTAATTCTGCCCCTGCGCTGCAAATTTACAGTGTGGGGAACTTTTTTATGTTCCAGCATGTGCCTCTTGTAGCCTTTCAAAAGGCATGCCCTATGGGGCAAAATCTTCAAAATTATCTAAACAAAACTAATTTTTTGGCTGAGCGTAAAAAGGAGAAAAGTTTTATTTTGAAACTGTTAATCAATGTTTCATTTCATCTCAAAACATTCATTTGGGGGTTTTTACTTTTTTTTTATTCAAGTGAATATTTAGTTTTGACCAACAATCAAAATTATCATTTTCAAAATATAGAAACAAATCAATAAATTTGATACAAATCTGAAAACCCGAATCTGCCTTTTTGATGAATAAAAAATTGGACTGAAAATTGTCCAGTTCTGAGCTCTGGATAATTTATAGCAATTACTTATGCACGTTTGAAAAATCTTAATCATTATATACAATGTGGCTGATTCCTTCCCTGGGGATTATCTTTAATGGTTACAGAAACAGCAAGTCAACCTAAGCAACCTAAATGACTGTTTTTCCTAAAGGACCTTAGTTACATCTTCCTGCAGAGATAATCCAACTCCTGCTATATCCTAGCTGGAGGTAACAAGATCTATCTGATGATATGACTCAGGAGTAATTGTATACTACCTACATGCAGAGTTCAAGCACCTTACATCAATATGACTCAGCATCCAATAATGTATTTGTGTAGTTCTACATATGACAGTGGAGAAAATCGTACATCATGTTTCATAGATTTCACAGATTTCGTAGACATTAGGGCTGGAAGGGACCTCGGAAGATCATCGAGTCCAGCCCCCTGCCCAAAGGGCAGGAAGTCAGCTGGGGTCATAGGATCCCAGCAAGATAAGCATCCAGTTTCATCCTGAAGGTGTTCAATGAAGGCGCTTGAACCACCTCCGGTGGCAGGCTGTTCCAGACCTTGGGGGCTCAGACAGTAAAGAAATTCTTCCTTATGTCCAGCCTGAAACGATCTTGAAGTAGTTTGTGACCATTCAACCTCGTCATCCCTTGGGGTGCTCTGGTGAACAAACGTTCCCCCAGATACTGGTGGTCACCCCGATAAACTTGTAGGTGGCCATCAGATCACCCCTGAGCCTGCGCTTTTTCAGGCTAAAGAGCCCCAGGGCTCTCAGCCTGTCATTGTAGGGTCTGCTTCCCTGACCTCTGATCATGCGCGTGGCTCTTCTCTGGACTCTCTCAAGCTTCTCCACATCCTTTTTGAATTGTGGAGCCCAAAACTGGACACAGCACTCCAGCTGCGGCCTCACTAAGGCCGAGTACAGGGGGAGAATGACGTCCCGAGATTTGCTTGAGAAGCATCTATGGATGCAAGCCAGCGTTTTGGTCACTTTACTAGCCGCCGCATCACATTGCAGGCTCATGTTCATCTTGTGGTCAATGATGACCCCCAAGTCTCTTTCTTGCATAGTGCTAGCCA